GTAGTGGCCTTTGTTTATGTTAAATAACTTGGCATTCTCTTTTTCCTCCCACTGCTCCTACAGCTTGGGTGTATAAGGCTGTAGGTCAGAGCAATGGGGCAGTTGCCATTGGTGGAAAATGGAGACTCAGAGGCATGTTCCAGCCATAGCCAGTGGCAGCAAGCCTGGGTCTGTTTTCTTCCAAAGTGTTTGCTTACTCCCCTGCATCAAGCCACCCCCTGGCCCAGGGCTGTCACGCGAGGAGACACTCAGAATTTAGAGTATGCATTCAATTATAAAGGTGAACATTACTGAGTTGACTCCCTATTTTAAGAGGTCTCAGCAAAGTTTCTGAATGCTTTATGTTCCTCTTAACTTCCTGGACAAGCCATCTACCACAATGAAATTGGGCAAACATCCTGATTCCCTTCAGAGTCTCCTCTGCTCAGCAAAAATGCACGTTACGAATGTGCTCACTGGTGGCTCAAGTGTTTCAAAGTTGGGTGGACTGTGTTCCCGAAAGAGACTCTTAGCATCTGAGTTTTCCATCTCTGCAGCCACTAGACCTTGGGCCATTTCATGGACTCTTCTATAGACAGCTCTTCTCCCCCCTCTCCCCCCAAAAAAAGTGATTAGGGAAATGCAAAGCCAAAGTGAAACAAAACAGATCTATTTGCTAAGTAAGAAGGGCACCATCCAGCAAAGAGGAGAAGCAGATTAATAGCTGCCTTACAGCAAAAACAAATGAACACAAAATCTAATTTACAAACCTATTAGATTTGCTATGTAAGCTGTTCACAGCCGATCTGATTGTACCTCTGCCTCCAGAATTCCTGCAAGACAAAGGAAATGCATTATTTATAAATCCAGCTCTTCTTTGCAAGGCCCTCTTCAATAGTCAGGGGATCCCGCAGCGGGCTTTGGAGAACTACAGAGGGCAGTTGAGATCTTACTCTGAACTCTTCTGAATGGGTAACATCCTGAGCCAGCCACAAACCCAACCATTTTATAGGGAAGTAGACCTCCCAGGTCCTCCCCTGCCTCTCACTTGAACATGGATTCAATTTGCACTATGGTTTCCTCGTGAATCTTCCATCTGAATCTTGAGACAAAGTCCTTTGGGATCAGTCTCCCCTGGTTAATCCCACAGGATAGCATGACTCAGCATCTGCTCCCTGGGTTCTCTTGCTTTCCCTCACATGTGTTCAAGATACCACATTCTCTCTGAACCAGGAGTTCAACAGAGGCAGCAAGATGGACTCCACAGTGCCTCCAACCAAATAACGATGACAGGAGAAATTACATTAAATGGTGTCACTTGGTGCGGGAGCAGGAGATGGGTGACAAATGGGGTCCTTTGCTCCTTCCTCTGGAGGATAGTTTTTGGAGGAAAAGCATTCTAAGGCCCTTTCCAGCCCCACCATCCATTCAGTTCGGTCAAATTCCATTCTGGATCTGGGCTATGGTGCCATAAAGTCTCGCCCTGTTTTGCTATCACATTGGGCCAGAGGATAGATGAATCCATCTTCCCCAGGTATGTAGCCCACTTTGTGCCCACTGCAGTGTTTTAAAAAAGTTGTATGGGAGACTAATTATTTTGATTACGTTAAATCATGTTTTCCTACTCATTATAGGATGTGTGGTTTGAGGAGATATTTCTTCATACTTTTCTCTGNGAACAAAGAGGACGAGGGGAGACATGATCTGTTAGCATGCCAGTGACAAGCCTAATGGTTTTGTTTTTGCGAGGGCTTGAATGTAAACTTCTTTGCAAGAGTGAAATTGCAGTTATTACCTGAGAAGGGAAGGAAGTCTATTTATCTTCTAGAACGCACACACTCTCTCCCTGAGATATAACCTCCGTGCATTCCTGGAGGCAGGAAGGGGGCTGGTAAAACTCTTTCTCTCCTCTCCCACCTTCTCCCAGCGTTCCCTCCCAGTGAAACCCAGCTGTCGCCATCAGAGTAATAATACTTCCCCAAGTTACGGTCACAAAACTCCAAATAAGCAGTTGCATTAGCAGCCAGGTTATCCTATGATGGTTTACACACTTAATAATGAGAACACAAAAGTTCCTATCAGGATAGGGTGATGTAGCCTGCGCATCTCCCTCCTCTCCCGAACCCATCACTCCCTCCTTTGTACCCTGGATGTCCCTTTAAACGTCCGTCTTATTCCAGAGTTGTTGGTGCTGTGTCTCTATCTCCCACTACACCATAAGTGAGGAGGGAGGGGCCACCCTCGCTTGTTTCTATATTCCCAAGGGTCTAACATAGCAGGTGCTCAATAAGTAAGTGTTGACCGAATTTGAATTTGAATGTTGTCCTGGGGGAGCCTGGATGGAGGTAGATGCTGGCGGCTCTATATTCCTGGGGCACATCACAATTCTGGGTGCACACCATCTTTCCAACCGATTCGGAACCCCAGGCATTACAGGACCTACTTGAATTCAGAGGCTTGAAATCTATGCTAGTAGGTTTCTAAGAAACTAGGTTACAATTACGTCTCGAAAGGCAGGAGCCATCCTGCCTCTGCCAGCCACACACATCAGAAGCTGCTTTTGTCTGGGCTGACAGCAGATTCTCCCAGCTCCAATGACAACTGGATTTGTGATGCCCAATTCGGGACCTTTAAACAGTCCAAACCAAACACCTATGTCCGTTGCATTTATCTTGGAAC